TTGATATAGAGATAGTATTTTGAAAGAAAGAATTAATATTCAAGGAAGAAGATTAAAGAAAATAACTCACAACTTACAAATTCATTAAGCTTCAAAGTAGCAAAACCAAGATGGAAGAGTTTAGCTCCTCATTTGGAGACTAAACATGATGAAAAATATAAAGAAAGAGCTATTCTATACTGAGCTTAGATGTTCATCGAGGGTTAAGTAACTGATTTTTGAAAATGCAAGGTTGCATTAATTATTATGACAAAACCTCACGGGGCTAATAGTGATTTACCCTTTATTTAAATGTAATTTCTATTTTCATCATGTAACATTAATTTTAATTTAAAATAACTAATAATAATGTAATCTATAATTTTATTTTATATTAAAGTGAAGACTATACTCACTAAATTAGTTTAATGACAAACAAGGAGACAAAAATTGTGGTGCATTCACAAACTCGGCGAGACTTAAAAAAATTGTTACCCATTTTCTCACTTATTGTAAAATGAGTCAATTACTCTCCACTACAATGGTGACAAATAATTAGGTGCCAAAAATAAAGTACTAAATACTATAAATGACTAAGGTAGTGACTAATATGATTTCTCACACTCATTTCTAAATTACGAGTGACATGCATAGACTAATGACTTGATTTTTACTTGCTCGGTATGCCAAGCACACCTAGATTAGAGGTTCAGATATTTTTCTTGGATTTGTATCACATGCTTCCAGTGAGACTTGCTAGCAGCTAGCATTAACACTTTACTTCAAATCTTGCTATTTTGTTTTGTTTCAGTCCTTCGCCTCTCATTTTCTTAAGAATGTCCCACTACTTTTCTTGCATCACAATGCATTGTAAAGGATTTGATTGTCAGGAGTCAGGACATGTCTTGTCAGTCAAAGGTGCTCCTTGCACTGCTTTGTGAACACCATTTTCTTGTTTCTTCCTCACGACATGATTTTCGAAGAGAAGATGATGTTCATCATCAATGATTTATAGGTTAGGACATGTCTGGTTTGTCAGAAGTTCTTGCAATACCACTTTGGGCACCCCGTTTATCTCTCCGCGCTCTTGTGTGTCTCTCTTTATTAACAATGATCCGCTTCCTCTTACATAATTCATCATCATGAAATGTCCTGTTTCTCAAAGGTGATGTTTGCACTGTTTCGTGAACCGCGTTGTCTTGAAGCTTCTTCATACATTCATCAAGGATTTCATTCTTAGGACGTGCCTGCTTTGTCGATGGTGCTTTCACTGCCTTGTAAACCCCATTTTTATGTTTTTGCCTCTTGCACATATCTGCTCCTTTAACCATTGATTTCTTCCTCTTCTTGCATGCATCATCAACCATTTCATTGTCATGACGTGTCTGGTTACACAAAGATGCTCCATGCACTGGCACGTGAACCCCATTCACTTTTTGCTTCTTCATGGCAATATTCTCCAAGACGAGATGATGAGCTAGCCTTGCTAAACTCGACCCCGATATAGACTTGGGGGGCATAGGACTATAATGGTTTGTCAATGAGAAAAGTGTTAGGCTGCAAAAGAATGATCCCTAGAATAAAAAATTCATCAAAAACATATGAATTTTGCAATGATCTCTCTCACCTTAAGGTGTGCCTCCCTTCAGTAATTGCAGTCGTCTCATGCCACAAAATTGGTTGTGGCAAGAGGTCATGCTTTTTTATAGTCTGTATTTGGACAATACATCCTGCTGAAAAGTTAGTACTTAGTAGTAGAGATTCAGATGCTAAAACATTCCCACGATCAGATAGAGAGATGTATATCCCAAAAAGTTGTGTACCTTGTTAGGTAATATTACCCCTGCTGGCAGTCTGCTAATGTGAGGATGAAATGCAGGGACTTTATACAGTACGCATCTGCAAAAGGGAATAAAATATATAAAATCTATTAGCAAGAAAAGCTTCTTCCAGCTTTTCATGTTAAAAGAACACCTTTCACGTTAAAAGAAAAATCTCTAGTCTGAGGGAACTTACATTACTTTGTTGTTTCTTATCATGTCCATTGACGAGCACTTTGTCACGGTGCGTCAAAATAATTTCGATACTAAACACTTATACGTAGTATAGTGTAGTAGAGTTCGTATCCACAGGGAAAGGAATGATTTTCTTTCTATGAAACTAGTAATTAAAAGGGGGTTTTGGTTTTGAGTGATTTAATTCAATTAAGAAACTAAGATGAACAACCTATATGTGCTTAATTCTAGAATAAAAGGGACTTGGCTTTGCTACTTTCCACTTGTTGATATATTTTAGTCGATCCTTGTTATATCTATAACTTATCCCCTCTCGAATACTCAATCGAGGAGTATCTCCAATTCATCGAGGGTAGTTATTAACAACGACCGTTCATTAATAACCCTTACTATTAATCAAGTATAGAACAACGCCGTATACCGATATAATAGTAGCATTCAATCTTTTTAACTCCTTGATGAAATCAATTGAGATTGATAACCTTAACACAACGGTCTCGTTTTAACCAACAAAATTAATCCCTCTTAAGTCTATTAACCACGACCGTGCATTAATAAACCGAAGTTACTTACTTGTGAAACCACCAACGATTAACCATCGGTTCGTTGATCGTTTCTAGTAATAATTAATGTCGGAACGTTAACTAATCGTCACTTAGCAACCCTCCAACATTAATATAGAATGAGATTAAGGGAAGCATTAATAATCAAGAAAAGAAGTTAAGAAAATAACTCACAACTTTAATAATCAACAAGCTTCAAGAGCAAAACCAAGAACGGAAGTTTAGCTCCTCACTTGGAGACTAATCATGATGAAAAATATAAAGAAAGAACTATTCTATACTGAGCTTAGATGTACAAAGGGATTGGATGAAGGGATGATGAAAAGTGAAGGGAAATGGAGTTATTTATAGGTGTTTTCAACACCTAATGCCGGATACCCGGCCGGGTATTTTGACATACCCGACCGGGTATTTACCAAATCAAATATTTTCCCATGTTTTTGTGTCTTCTGCACGTTCTTTGGTCCGAAATCACTTCATACCCGACCGGGTATATGGAATACCCGACCGGGTATTTGCTAGTTTTGCAGCAGTTTCCTTTGTCACTTCATACCCGGCCGGGTAAAGTCCATACCCGACCGGGTTTTGCACAAAACTCAGGTTTCTTCATCCTTTTTGCTTCCAAACCTATCCTAAACTTATAGCCAAACTAACTACAACTTACAACAAACAATAAAATGCTAGAAATACGATTACAATCAAATGCAAACTAACAACTATAAACTTGCACAAAACTAGTAAATAAACATTACAAACAATAATAAAAATGTATACTTAGGCACTAACAACTAGTGCCTATCATCCATGTCGTTGATTGGTGATTACATCTCCACAGGACATGTTGGCTTATCAGATATGTAGATGTATCCATTCATTCCATGACTGAAAATTTTAAATTTAGAAAGAAAAAAGCATCAGAGTTAGAAAACAAAGAAAACGGGTAACTCATAAATACCAAGACATATATGTTACAACTTTGCATTTGATAAATTGTTGTTGCGCAGAAGGCATTTGATAGGCATGGGGTGCATCAACAGCTTATTCAATACTTTAATAAGGTGTACAAGAGGAGAAATAAGTAGTTATTATTACTTAAATAATGAGTAGTTGGGCTAGTATCTCTCACCTAATCTCTGTGTGGATAGTTGGGCTATAAATAGAGGGGGGGGGGGGGGGGGGGGAACTAATAAAGGCATGCTGTTATTTTCTGTTGGCTAGTAGCTTGGAGATTGGGCATCTCGAACTGTCCCATTGCTTGTACACCTATTTCGACTTTCTCTCTTTCTCAATAAACTGTTGTGATCTGTTCTTATTGCAATTCCTTAGAATAGTGATTGTTCTGAATTGAATCTGCCAGTGTTCTATCAGCATTATGTGAATGTCACAATAAAGGTTTTTTGTATTTCATAAAATGAGGGTGGAGTCGTCCCTGGAAAGGTATAATTTGCTTTTAAAAGTTATAGCACTAGGAGCGTATCACTGACCTGAAGTTTGGGTTGATTTTCCTCTTCAATTTTGTCTTTGCCAGTTTTGGATTATTCTCATTACGTTTAAAGAACGATAAGATATTTCGTGCTAAAGGGTATGATCCATGAACAAATAGCATATCAAGTCCGAGACTGTTTCTCTTCTTTTCCTCATCCTAGATAACAAAGAGATGGTTATGAGTTGCACATTTATGTGAATAGAAATCAAAGAAAGAAAACAATGTTTAGAACCAAAATGGAAAGTAGAACTGGAGTGGTGATTTATTATGCATAGCAGCAACCAATACCGTTAGTGTACTCTCTAATTTTGATACCGCTAGTAGAAGTCGGAATTTCTCAATAAATGGTAACTTACAGACAGCCTGCAAATAGGAGGAAAGTAAAATGAAGCAGTCAATCAGTGCAAGACAAATGCATGATAACTAGTTTCATGGGGCCGTTACTGAACTAAAGATTTCTCCCTTCGTCCCTTAAAACTTTGCCAAGCTTGACTAACACATGGAATAATAAAGTAAGAATTGTGTGGTTGAGATTTGTGTAGAGGAGAGAGAAATAATAAGAACCACAATTCAATTGATTAAAAGGGAGAGTGACAAAGTTTTGGGGACAATCAAAAAACAAAAGATGGAAAAGTTATAAGGGCCAGTGGAAGTATGATTTAAGTAGGTTGTTAATTACTGAACCTGCCATGAATGCCTTTTTCCATTGAGATCCAGCTCAAAATCTGTCATGAATGAAGTAACATCAAATACTGCATTGAAACAAATGATCATGAAACACTAATCAGCCTACCATGGGGATAAAAGTCCACAATGGGGGATTGTGGATCTGTCATCAGGTTCCTGTATGAAAAAGGGAGTGCTTGTGAACTGCATGCAACATGAATAACAGAGTTTTGGTTAGAGACTATCATGCATACAACATCCAAACCTCATTCCCAAAAGAGTTTAGGGTTGCTAACATGAATCGACATATGATGTCAGAGTTAAAAGCAATAAAAGCATGAGCTTATCATGCATATTTAAATTAAAATAAAGAACATTAACTTTAGTACAAAACCTTGCAGCTGGAAGGACACCCATCAATTGAGCAAAAGGCTTGAAGGGCTCTCCTAGTGTGAAAGTGGTATGGAAGTTATCGAAACCATGTAAATCAGATGCGAAGGGAGCACAGTGGTAAGGATAAAACCTGCAACATAGCAATTCAAGTTGAGTGAAGAAATGGTCATACTAAATGTTATGGAGTAATAAATAGTAACACCATCTTCTGATTTCTGAAGATAGTGCAAGTCGGAATTTGATTATAAGGGGGACCACCATTGCCATGAGCAGACTCCTTGGTAGTAATAATGCATCACCCAACATATTCCTTCAGCATATTTCAAAGCCTGTGTAAGAATGAAAGTAGTTGTAATGGAAACCGAAGATGACGGAACTATGGTAACACAATTGCAATAGGCATATAGAATATGATGCTTCATCTACAACTTAAAACCAAGCACAACTTTCGAAAATGCTTAATTGGAACTGAAAGTAGAAGATACAAGGACTGTTGCTATTAAAACAGAAACAGTATAGAAGTTGCATCCATACATTTTGATAGAGGCAGAGGAAAAGAGTTCTTTACTTTTCATAGGAATATTCAAAACATTTGTACATTCTTTTTATCTATGATCTTTTTTACGTTCTGATAAAATAATATCCAGTTCACTACCTAGCTATATTCTTGAAAAAAAATCAATCAAATAAGAAAATGTGCGACTCGTTTTGTAGATGTGTTATATTTTGAGTTAGTGAGTTAGCTCATCAATTGAGATAACATGTGTAGGTTTTCAGGGGAGAATCTAAAGGGTCAGGAGGTCAATCACCCACCTCAACCCCACTTCACCCCAATTCTGTCAATACATGCATGGCTATATTAAGGAATGGGAAGAATGCACAAATGTCTTTAATTAATAAATCAATCATTTTAGTTTTTATTCTATTTCTTCTGTATCAATCAAGTTCTTCTGTCATTTTAACCGGGGAAAACTAATTAAAATACCCCAAACTTTAAAGAGATGTGAGATAAACACTCTAAACTTTCATACATAATTTAAATATCCTGAATTTTATATAAAAAGTTATTTTACCACCATGGTCATATATTATTTTTTTCAAGAATGTAAATTTATGGTGTTAATTGCATAGTTTAAAATAGCAAATCAAAAACGCTACAATTATAGAGTGGGGGTAGTATTATTTATTTTACAATGGAAGTTTAGAATGTTTATTGTATCTTGATGAATGTTAAAATATTTTAAATTATGAAATTAAAACAAAAAATTAACATAAAAAAACAATGCATGACCATGGTGTTAAAATATCTTTTTATATAAAGTTTAGGGTATTTAAATTATATATGCAAGTTTGGGGTGCTCACATCACACCCCTTCAATGTTTAGGGTATTTTAATTATTTTCCCCTTTTAACCGTGAAATTAACTGTTCAATATATTGCATTTAAAAGTCACGTTTGTATAACAATATATTTAACTCATTGACCACTTGAAAAAAATCCACCTCAAACCACATTTTTATTGAAAACATGTTTTGTATGTTGTAAGGAATTAAACCACAGTCATTTTATGTATTATGCTACATTTTTTTGTGTGGATTCTACATTGCTATATATACAGAGTATAATATGAATAATATATATATATATATATATATACACATGTACACAGTTAAATTAAAAGGGATCTAGGAATAGTAGACTAGATAAATAGAATTATCAAAGTAAGGGCTCTAGGAATACTAGACTGGATAAATAGAATGAAAATTATTGAAGTTGTGCATACTTGAGATGAGTTAGCATTGGGTGTTGCCAGTTTCCATTAATTCCACACGTGGAACATACATGATCACAATTTATTTTCCTAATATATAGGCTGGAAGATGAGTGAATTGAATAATAATTTGAGAATGAGATGTTTGCACCATTGAAAATGAAACAATTTTCGATTTTGTTCCGTTTTCAATATAAATATATCCAAACTCCCTAAATTAAAACCCAATTATCTTTCATTTATTTCTATTGTTTGTAATTACCCTTGGTTTGTAGATGTAAATGTATTTCACAACATTTTCAATATATATAGACAACCACATGTATTATTTATTTCTCATTACATTTTGACGAATTAACTAGTTATAATTTGAGGTTTCATATATTACTTTCTGGGCATCCCTCAATAAAAGTGCAAATTCCACGTACCATTGACAATGCGTTCGATCAAACTATTTGAGAAAATTTGTTATGTACTACTCTGGCCCCTTCGTATCATAATATGTGTTTTAGTAGGCTTTCCAGGTAATTTAAGATAACTTATAAGTTTACGTACTGTACTGTACATTATAGCAGTACTGTATTATTTGTATACTTTGTGTCTAGTCAATAATGGGGGGGGGGGGGGGGGGGGAACGTTGCTGCAGAATCAGCAAGTCAGCAAGGTCCAAGTGTCCATTTCTGTCCAGCAAGGCAGCGAGTGAACAACTTTTTTCTAAGAGAGAAAAACTAATGGCACCGTTTCACTGCAGAAGGCTTTGGATGAACTATGATATTGATATAGGGTTGCTGAAGCAGAGAAGAAGGCTATAGCTACAACGGTCAGCTGTAATCTGAAATTGAAGCTCCTTAAGCCTCATTTCACAACTCTCAAGAATCAAGTGATTTGAGGTAATTAAAAAATTGCAATTTCTTTTTGTGAAAGATGAAATAGCAAGTTTATCTGCCTACTTTCGTGAATATGATTCTTTGATTCCGTGAATTGTGATATTTGAATTATAAGAAATTAACAATCAATTTTTGAATTCTGAGTATTGATTTATTGTACTATGGTTTAATATTGATTTTAGAATATTATGTGAAATATACATGTATGGAGAAGCTTATATAGTTGCTAGCGGTGTGCGCACGATGTACAAACGGTGCCTAATCTAGTTTAAACAACTCTTCTACCACTAATAATCGCGGCAAGAAGAAGGGAAAGGCCGGGCCAAGTATTGATAGTTTCTCAGCTTATGTGGAGGCAGCTTCTATTCGACTTGAAAAGGCGGGAATGGAGATGGCAAGGGTGGAGATTTACTTTTTTGGCACTACTTCTCACTGGTTTTACACTGGCCATGTAGTTCCTGGATGATTTTTGTGGTCTAATTTCATCATTGTTGGATTATTTAATCCTAATTCTCTCAGAAGTTCATCATTGTGGTCAGAAGTTCTTGCAATACCACTTTGGGCACCCCGTTTATCTCTCCGCGCTCTTGTGTCTCTCTCTTTATTAACAATGATCCGCTTCCTCTTACAGAATTCATCATCAGGAAATGTCCTGTTTCTCAAAGGTGATGTTTGCACTGCTTCGTGAACCGCGTTGCCGTGAAGTCGAGGCGGCGGGTTGATGGTATCTGGCGAAAATTTTGATGGGGAAAATTCGTTAGAAAAATTTCCGGTGACATAGTGACACGTTTTCCGGTACAGTGACATCTAAAAGTGACGTAAAAATCAGTAGTGACATTTCAAAAGTGACATAAAAATCTGGTAGTGACATACAACAGTGACATAAAAACTCGACAGTGACATAAAAAATGACAGTGACTTCATATTTTTCCAAATATGTGACCTTCTTAGTCACATTTTTATCTTTTTATAAAAATAGTCACTTTTTTAGAAACTGGCTTTAGATTAGTAATATTCAAGGAAAAAGCCCTATGTAGTGACCCCTTTAACTTCTCAAAACATATTAACTAATATTGATTTTTCTACTGAAATTGTCATATACGCTTGAGAGTTGAGACTGATAATTGAAATGAGTGTGTTATTATTTTAAAAAGAACAAATGTAATTCATCATGTTGTTGCAATTTTTCTTTTTGTTTGGTCCTAATTTTCAAGTTGCTGTTTTATATTGCATACGTTATGAACAAATATAGCATACACTTAGTTTGAAGTTATGTATTCTCCGTATTGTATTCATTAATACTTAGTTAATTCAAATATTTATTTTATTTATTTAAGGGAAAATTACTATTAACCCCTGAGGTTATGTCATAATTATTAATGCAACCTTGCATTTTCAAAAATCAATTAGTTACCCCCTCACATTTGATCATACTGACTATATGCCCCCCGCATGTTAATATTTGTTAAATTAAATTAAATATAACTCTTAAAATCAATGAAAATTGTCTAAAAAATGAATTTTAAAAGTGAAATACAATTAATTATCATAATTATAAATCATTAATGAAGGATTTATCAGTATAAATCAATTAGTTACCAATCAATATTTTTTTACTTAGCTACTCGATCGTGGAATAAATATTAATGAACGTAGTTAAGGTAGAAGCTAGACTCACGAGTCATGAGCTAAGTAATATTCATGAGATATATCAAAGAAAGTTGTTTGAAATACTGTGATCAAAATTCTAGACACCTCTTCATCATGAATATAAAAGTCTTATTTGTAATTCATTCGGCTGAATTAATCTCAATGACATTTATTTCGTGTGTATAAAATTCGTTATATTTTATATCTTACTCGTGAGTATTCTCTCTTCACTGCATTCATTAATATTTATTCCATGATCGAGTAATAAGTAAAAAAATAACAATCAACAACAATGACTTATAATTATGATATTAAATTGTATTTTACGTTAAAATTTAATTTTAAAGACAACTTTCATTAAATTTAAAAGGCATATTAAATTTAATTTAACAAATATTAACGTAAGAGGACAAACAGTGAGAATGATAAGAACACAGGGGTTAAGTAATTGATTTTTGAAAATGCAAGGTTGCATTAATTATTATGACAAAACCTCAGGGGGCTAATAGTGATTTACCCTTTATTTAAATGTAATTTCTATTTTCATCATGTAACATTAATTTTAATTTAAAATAACTAATAATAATGTAATCTATAATTTTATTCTATATTAAAGTGAAGACTATACTCACTAAATTAGTTTAATGACAAACAAGGAGACAAAAATTGTTGTGCATTCACAAACTCGGCGAGACTTAAAAAAATTGTTACCCATTTTCTCACTTATTGTAAAATGAGTCAATTACTCTCCACTACAATGGTGACAAATAATTATCTGCCAAAAATAAAGTACTAAATACTATAAATGACTAAGGTAGTGACTAATATGATTTCTCACACTCATTTCTAAATTACGAGTGACATGCATAGACTAATGACTTGATTTTTACTTGCTCTGTATGCCAAGCACACATGTGATGTTTTATATAGTTTTATTAGTGGTTCAGATATTTTTCTTGGATTTGTATCACATGCTTCCAGTGAGACTTGCTAGCAGCTAGCATTAACACTTTACTTCAAATCTTGCTATTTTGTTTTGTTTCAGTCCTTCGCCTCTCATTTTCTTAAGAATGTCCCACTACTTTTCTTGCATCACAATGCATTGTAAAGGATTTGATTGTCAGGAGTCAGGACATGTCTTGTCAGTCAAAGGTGCTCCTTGCACTGCTTCGTGAACACCATTTTCATGTTTCTTCCTCACAACATGATTTTCGAAGA